CATATTTCATTTTCTTGCATTTATACACTTTTACTTATTAGATTTATCTTACATTCATCAGCATTTAAGTTTGATTGTTAAGAAGGAAAAAACGACTTGCATTTACGGACCTGATGGTCTCAGTATATTTGTAAATGTTCATGTAAGGAAGTTGTTTGTCTTATGTTTCATCATAAATGTATCATAATTTCATCATAATTTCATTATGGAAGAAGGGTACAATACTGTGACTGGGGTAGGGACTAGAGTCAACAATTTGAACATGATTCATTATTTAGCCATGTCTTTAGCCATCGATCTGCTGGCGGGCAAGTAAACTATGAAACTCTTTAAGAAAAACAGAGGGGTGTGCTGGGTATGAGAGACGATGTGAATTACTTTTGTAAAATTCCGAGTCTGTAGTAAAAAGAAGCGATTGAGGGTATCCCCACCTTTCCCGGATATATGAACATGTCCGTGCAGAAATACCATATCCCTTGCTTTCGCCCTTTCTTTACTTTATGTCTGACTACACCCATCTGCATTTTCCTGAAAATAAATAAATGGAATAACAGCTTAGACCCCAATGGCAAATCATGCATTTTAATTGCATTATTTAGAAACTGTAAAAGTTTGTTGCAATTCTTCCCCCTAACATTCCTAACTTAAATAAAAATATTACGAATACTAATGACAGGTGTTAATTTGAATGATAAATATTACGCTTCGACAAGTGAATATTAATTTGAATGCTAGTTGAGCAGTTTCTAAATTGAATGACAGATCTATAAAACCCTTCGACCAAAATCCTAAATTAAATACAAAAACTGGAGAATTGAATGATAATTGGCATGGCAAAGCCGATCTGCGCTAACTTAAATGCAAAGTAAATGAATTCGAATGACAAACACGCAAATTTGGCCGGGAAATCCTATATAATACATTTTACATGGTTTACAGTTGTGAAATAGAAAGTATACATAAATATCCAGTATAATGGGTTTTAAAAAAAAATTAAAGATAAACCTGTGGAAATAGAGGGATCCACTGAAAAGCAGAGCTTGTAAAATGTGGATCCCTCAAAATAATGACAAACACAATTGTTGTAACATGCAAATATATCGACTTGAAAAAATAGATATATACATACACTGTAAATTACTAAAAAATGACAGAATAATAATACAATTATACATCCGTAATTCAAAAACTTGTTACAGTAACGTATAGTGAGCACTAGAAAGGTCAAAAGAGACAATGACGACTGACAGATAAGACATAAATAATAATGATTAATAAAGAATATATAAGACAACAGAAAATAAAGCAAGGAAAGAGAGAAATGGAGGAATAGATAATGTTGCTGCATATGTGATGAGTAAAGAAAAAGAGAGGAGAGGTGAAGAGAAGAAAGGAGAGAGAGAGAGAGAGACAGAGACAGAGAGAGACCGAGAGAGAGAGAGAGAGAGAGGGAGAGCACGATGTGCATAATGCAGGGGTAGTGACCATAAGTATATAAAGTAAAATACATACAGGGCGTTAAAAAAGACGTGACGGGAAGGAAAGGAAGGAAAGAAATGATTTGACAATGCACTGATATTAATTTGTGTTGTAAGGAAGTATAAGAAACAATTTGAATTTCTTCTTAAATGAATTCAGAGAGGGGCAAGTTGAATGTCAATATGAATAGAAATCCAAAATTTGGGGGCTGTATAAATAAACGTGTTTTGAGCTAGAAGGGTTCTCAGAATAGGTAAATGAAAGTCATTACAATGCCGAGTTGGGTACTTATGATAGGACTTATTGAGGGTGAACATATCATCAAAAACGACAGGAAGCATGTTGTTATTAATAATAATAATAATAATAATAATAATAATAGCTAGTTCTTATATAGCGCTTTTCAAGACCGAAGGCCTTCTCAAAGCGCTTTACAGATATATATATATATATATATATATATATATATATATATATATATATATATTACCCCGGTCATAGGATTCAGGCTTACCCGCACACAATGTATGCACATTCTCCACTCCCTGGGGAGCATTCCAGCCAGGCGTATTTTTTACGAGCGCGCACTTGCTAATCTAACCACATTAGCTTTCGCATCCTACCGGGTACCCATTTAACACTGGGTGGAGAGTGGCAAATGTAGATCAATGTCTTGCCAAAGGACATTAGTGCCGCGGTGGGACTTGGACTTGATTCAGGCTTACCCGCACACAATGTATGCACATTCTCCACTCCCTGGGGAGCATTCCAGCCAGGCGTATTTTTTACGAGCGCGCACTTGCTAATCTAACCACATTAGCTTTCGCATCCTACCGGGTACCCATTTAACACCTGGGTGGAGAGTGGCAAATGTAGATCAATGTCTTGCCAAAGGACATTAGTGCCGCGGTGGGACTTGAACCGCGAACCTTGTGATCCACAGTCCGGTGACATATCCACTCGTCCACGACACCTCTACATAGGAATAAATAAACTGGCCTAACTGAAAGAGATAAAGATCTTTAAATTTCAATATTTTATTTGTAAAGAAAAGAGGATCCGTATGAGAGCGAAAATGAGAAAAACAAATGATACGAAGAGCTTTCTTTTGTAATAATAAGATTATGTTTAACAAATTTAGGTGTGTATTGTCCCACATCATGGCCCCGTCTTACAAAGAGTTACGATCGATCCAAATCAATCGTAAGTCCTCCAATCAATCGCAAGTTTGCAGTCTCCTATCTCTTATGTACATAGTTACGATTGATATCAATCGCAAATAACTTACGATTGATATCAACTCTTTGTAAGACGGGGCCCAGGTGTCCATAATTGCTTTCTTGGCCTCTCTGCCACACAGCGGTTTTGCAAAATTACCCTTTTCCGATCGTGATTAGCTCCAATAACAACATTCCAAAACCGATGTAGATCTTGCCCAGAATAATCATGAAGCCTTCTGTACGTCTATCCAATGATAAATACAATGTGACACAGGAAGATTATTTGTTTGGCATATAAAGAGTTAAAATCTCAATGAAATAAATGATGATAATCGGTGGCGTAGTGTGAGCCATTGAGGGGCACTGGCATAATTGGGGAAGGGCACCGGTCTCATTGGGGGAAATGATATGCTGATTTACAAGGCCCACTGATTAGGATGTATTACTATTGTCTCTGTTCCACATCCTTTTCCTATGTTTCTTTTTGCTGTTCCACCTCTCTTTATAATTTGCCTCTTCTCCTTTTGTCTTCGTAATTCCAAAGGGACACGTGCTCCCCATCTCCATGTGCCCCCATACAACCACGACGCTGAGTATATATATATATATATATATAACATATCCATAAACGAAATCCCCTAGAATCCTCGTCGTAATTGGAAGTTTATTGTTGCACCCTCATATCAACTTATTATTTTAGAGAAGGAGAGGCGAAGATATTACTCAGATACACAGAAAATTACACAGAAAAATGGGCTATGTACGGCCGAAGTAGTAAGAAAGAAGTAAGAAATGTGCAAGCCCTATTAAAATCTAACTGACAGAAACAACAACATGTTTTGTTTAAATCTTGTTGGAAATTTAATGTGTCCTGAACTCAAAATGCTGTGTTAACGTTTAGGCATAAATGCCTAACTGCTTAATAATATGGCGAAAAAGAGAAAACAAACGACGTAATGTGAATCTAGAATAAAAGAAAGCAAACTGTTAAAAACTTATCCCTATAAAGGCTTAAGAATGCGTCAAGTTTTGATAATTCGTTGACTTTAAAAATGACACTTTATTATCAAGAATTATGTCAACCGACACATGGAAAGGTATACGAATATAAGGGTCTTATAAAGGTCCAGGATACTGGTAATTGAATGACATCAATATGACTGTAAAGAAAAAGGTGGCAATAGATATGCAGATGAAGATTTTCCCCTATTATTGTGTTAAAATTTGAAGAAGAAATGAAAAGGTATGGACAATTTTTGAACAGAGGTATTGCAGATGAATAGCAGCAAAGAAAGGAAAAATTCATTTCAAAAGTAGCATAGTTGTTTTGATCATTAGATATTGGAAATTCAACATTTCAAACTCAAGCTGATCTCATCACCTTTTAGTTGTATTATCTCGTTTAGGTCTACACTGGAAACTACGACCCAAATAGTATTGTGGTGCACACCATCGTTAAGCCGATCGAATGCCGATTCTTTCGTATCCATCCAAAGACGGCCAATAATACACAACGGGCCCTTAGGCTAGAACTCATTGGCTATGGACCTCTCAATGACTTATTAGGTGGGTAAGGCTACATCATTTAAAAGACCCAGAAGCAAAAAAAGGATTAGAATAATTATAATGTCTTCTTCTATTCAAGCCGAAGTGGCCCAAACATATTCTATTCAAGCCAATCCAAAAGGTATTTTAATGAAGCGCCTTTCCTTGCGGTTATTAAGAGCTGCACACAATGATATATGTTTGGGCCACTTAAATGAGGACATGTCACTTCTTTTTAAAGCGCTCCTTTCCGTCACGTCAAGCTGTGACGCTCATGGCGCTAGACATTAATTATACTGACTATAGAGTAACTAGCGCTGAAGAATACCAGGTACACATTCACACCTGGGAATGTATAGATTGATGTTTTGCTAAAGGACACTTGTGTAGGGCAGGGAATCGAACTGCGGACCCTTTGTTCTTTGGCCCGGTGGCTTATCCACCGGACCACAACACTTAGGCCCGATTTCACAAAGCAAGGTTTGAGCTCAGACCAAGGTTTGAGCTCAAACCTCCTTTTGTTTCGCCAAACCTCCTTTTGTTACACCTTGGTCTGAGCTCAAACCTTGCTTTGTGAATTCGGGCCATAGTGTCTATGTAGGTGATGTAATCGAACGGTTTAAATAATCGGCTGGAGATGCGAACATTGGCAAGCACGGCACCGACGACGCTAATACCTAAATCTAATCGTCAAATCGACTCCAAAAACGACCCAAAACTTGGGGGCAGTCGTATTTTCTTGTTCGTCCTGTTGTTAAGAGGTGGTATTCTAAAAGTTTACTCGTGTTAATTTCTAGTTTGCTATTATGCACGCCTGTGTTCGTAGTAGTTGAATTAAAATGAGTTAAAAGAGTTTGGGTTTTCTGGAAACTCTTTTAGCAACTAAATTCTAAACAATAAAAGACCAAATAGATCTCTTTTATACACTGACAAAGTTTGTCTGTACGTTTGTTGTCTTCAGCTGCAATGAACCATGAAGAGGTAAGCTGTTCACGTCCTATTCGAGGGGAAGGAATGGGAGTGGAAGATGGACGAATCCCAAACTCTAGTCTTACCTCCTCGTCCAGTTTTGATCATCGTTACACTGCATCAGATGGAAGATTGAACGGCGGAGCGTCACACGAGGAAAATGTAGCATGGCTTGCCAAGGATGATGACATAGATAAATGGGTCAAGGTGAGTCCGATAACACTAATTATAACAACAACCCACCCCCCCCCCCCCCACATCGGTAAGCCACTCTAGCATAAATGCCGTTCTTCCTGAAGGTCGTACACTTACTGAATTCTTAGCTGCAACGGTAGACCTAGCGCTATCTAACTCCAATATTAATAACGTAAAGTCCAAATGAAACCCTCACCCGAACCCTAAAGATGATATTAATCATTGATGATTTACAATACCTCGCCCTACTGCTTTGACAGCAAGTATTTATTTGTAACTATCCGTAATTTTTACCGACACATTTCTTGGTAATTATCTACCTACTTTTAAACTTTTTTTCGCATTACCTTGGACAGTTGGAAACCCTCTATTAAAGATATTATGGTAAGAGCACATTTTATTTTTGTCCCTTAATTTTATATTAAAAAATAAAAAATAAAATAAAACTGTTTATTTTTTGTGAAAAAGGGTAACCCCCCAATAAAGACCTTACCCCCCCCCCCCCCTGAGTCGTTGCGTAATTTTTTGAGTTGTTGCGCCTGGCATTGGTGTTCTAAACCTATCACAAAAGGAAGGACAGCAATGGGAAACTTTGATAAAGCTACGCACCTGCATTCTCTAACTTGCATTACTTACAAATGTGTATTTTTTTCCGACAGAGTAGCCAAATTTTTTCGTTGTCAAAGTTATTTCATAATATATATAAATTTATCAGTTGCTAAGTCTTACTTCTATTAATACATTGACGAGTCAGATAGATCTTGGAAAGACCTCTACCGTCACAGGTGTTATCGTACAAGGCAGATGGGGGTGGGAACAATGGATTACTTCTGTCAAGGTATCCTATTCGCTGGATGACGTGGCGTGGACTTACGCTTTGGAACCACAATGTGGTGAACAAAAAGTAAGTACTGAGCACAGGTAATTTAGAGTATATACAATATATATAGCCGGTATCGTTCAATGCGAGGCTTTGTGTGCAAAAGGCATAGGAAAATGTTGTATCGTCGACCCGTTATTGATTAACAAGGTTTCAAGTTTTACAAATCTGAGATGCATGGCCCAACGTGCTATCAGTGTCTGTGACATGGTGTAGTATTGAAGCCCTAACACAAATTGCGCTTCAAAATGGTCATGAAGTGCTTCAAAAAAGTAAAAATCTTCGAGTGGCGGGTTTAACCATACTCATTTTCCCCAAAAAGCTGTTTGGCAAACAGTTGTTGACATTTCTAATTCCAAACATAAGTATCATGATAATCAGACAGGCGATCAGCTTGATTGATTAACTGCTTGATTTTAATTTTATTCTAAAAAAATACAAATACAAAAGGAAAGCTCGAGAAGAACATTAGAGAAAGAGAATGAAGAAAGATACATTGAAAGGAAAAGGAGACAAGATTAAAACAAAATAAAACCGAATAATTTCAGATAAAAAGTTCGAAAACAGACAATCAATTTTCACCCGTGTGCTTTTGATCTTTTTGTTCGTAGCCGAAATTTGTTTATTGAATTGTTTGTAACTGCAAACCTGATAATCTTCTTTAAACATGACAATGGCAGCTTACATCGTTTTTACCAAATTCTACCATGTGTATTCCATAGCAATTAATATACTTGTATTTCAAATTTTATTTTACTTTTGAGGACACAATGTAATTCAGCTTATGCGGCGAAAGATGATGTTAAAAAATTATTTTAAATTGAACCGAAAAATGCATACAATGTCCTTAAAATGATAATTTCTTCCTCATAATCTTCAGGTCTACCCAGCAAACTACGATAACACCACTCCCGAGATCATACTGTTCCCTCGACCAGTCACTGCTCGATACGTCAGAATACACCCACTCACGTGGCAGGAGCACCAGGGCATGAGATATGAAGTTCTTGGCATAGCTGAATTAACGGAAGTTTTACAGCATGAAGACTTCTACTAAATTGTAATGGTGTTATTTTTTTAATTATGTTGTTATGATTAATATTATCTTTATCAGGTGGGCTGTATCTAATACAGACCACCTTATAATTTTGTTAAGATTGCCTTTATTATTATTAAAACTCAAAACTCTGGCTTACTTGTTACTCCTAGGGTTAAAACAAAGTGGGGGGAGCGAACCTTCGCTCATGCTGGGCCTTCGTTATGGAATACTCTCCCTCAATGGGTTAAGAATAGCAGTTCTGCTGAAGTGTTAAAAAACAATCTTAAGAAATATCTGTTTAATTTAGCTTATAATTGATTACCATTACCTTTCATGTCTGTACCTTTCCTATTGCACTTTGTATAAATGTATCATGTATGTATTTTATCTTTTGCACAAGCTGCGCCTTGAGCATTTGACTGTCAAGTGGATTTGGCGCCTTATAAATCATATGTATTATTATTATTATTATTATTATTATTATTATTATTATTATTATTATTATTATTTATTATTTATTTATTTTTCTTATTTCGACCCACTTTTTTGTGATCAAGATAACTTTAAAATGGTTCAATCAAATACCTTGAAATTTAACACACATATGTATATGCATTAAAACAAAACACATAATTTTGTTCAACCTTGACCTTGACTGATGACGTCATCTAGGCGCCATTTTGTGGAATTTTCGGAAAATAAACTCATGATCATATCTTCATAACCAAAAGCCATTTCTCATTCATATTTACCTAAAGGTCAATATCATTCCGGTCAATTTCAGGTCAAAAAACGCGCACGTGCGCGTTCGTCCGTGCGTCTATGCGCGCGCAAAATTTCAAAATGCTCATAATCGTCTCAAATTTATTTTGCATATGTTTAAGGTCATTTTAAGCATTTTATAAAAAATCGTGCACACGCGCATGCGCGCGCGTTTTCGCGCGTAACACCATTACACAACGTAGAATCGCCACTTTTTTTTCTTTTATGATTATTCCCATATTTGTTTTAACAATTTGATACCATGTTTATCTCTTTATGACCATTAATAACAAGATGAGCGTCAATAATTCAAGAAAATGTCCGTGTGCACGAGCTCTTTTAATACATAGCATATATAGGCAAAACATGCCTATACAAAATCCATTATAGCTCTTTGGAATGAACCGTGACCTTCAATTTTTTTCATATTTAGATAGAGTATGAGTCGAAGATATGATTCCATGTCTCATTTGGCCATTAAGTGTATCGTGACATCATCATAATGGCCTTGGAACTCAAAATAGGAATTTGCATATTATGAAGTCAGCATATTTATGTAAAATTGATTGTATCTCTGTAAATATTGATTGATTTTCTTCCAAATTTCGATATCATGTAGCTAAGACAACTCTCTACAAGATTAGTATCCACTATTTTTCATTTTGATCACGTCATCATAGTGAAAATTACGATTAAAGGGCACATATCAGAAAGTTCTTAAATTGCGTGTTATGCCTATAGAAGGTGAATTTCGTTCACGTCGTGAATCTACATGGTATTGTTTTTTTAAGAATTTTAAAGCAGTATCTCGCTTATTTATGCTCTATTTTGTCTCAAATTTTAGTTGACCAACCCACCTATACTTGTTCCAAACAAGTATTATATGACTAGTTATTATTGCTATTATCATAATAATATTATCATTTTTCATAACTATTATTATCATTCTCATCATGCGTAGTATTGTAATTACTATTATCATTATTATTACTATGTTATTATATATTATTGTTATTATCATTTTTATTACCATTCTTATTATTCATATCATGATCCTTATCATTATTCATATTTTTGGTAATTGCTATTACAATTTGAAAAGTAGGAGTATTCGCTAGTATTGCTAGTAGAGTATAAACACACCGTGGAGGTGAATGACAAGGTACGGGTTCAAATCCCTGTCACGGCACAAGACATTAGTTTTACATTATTTTGCAAATCTCCACCCCGGATACCCGGTATGAATTAGTTCATTAAAGGGATTGGGTAACTTTGTCTCAGATTCTGAAACAAATTCCTGAATTTAGCTCATCATGTGCTGCAATGATAGTTATAAACCTTTAGGTCGGTCAGGAACCCCATGACTTTTACAAGCCGATCGCCTGTCTGATTATCAAGATATTGATGATTGGAAATCGAAATATCATTTTTCGTTTTCCTAACGATTTTCCTAACACTACAGTCTATTGGGGAAAATGAGAATGTCACTCTGTCACCCTGTCACTCAAAGATTTTTACGTTTTTGAGACACTTCCTGATCGTTTTGAAGCGCAATATTTTCAGGGCTTCATTGCACCATATCACAGACACTGATAACATGTAGGGCCATGCATCTCATATTTGACATTGTTAAACGATGCTTTTATAGTGTCAGAGTGCTTTTATAGCAGCCACTCTTGAACCGTATGTAATGACAGTGTACATATTTGTAAGGAATACTTAACAGTAGCATTTATTCAGCAATCGTGAATGTCTAAAAGTGGATATATGACAGTGTAGAGAATATATTTTAGCAAAATGAAATTTAAAAAGTTGTAAATAGTGTGGTAATTAGCTGTTAAATTGGTGAGTATCTAAAAAGACATCTATTATTTTCTTAATGAACAAAACATAAGATCTAACAGCTGAGAGTATTAATATTGACATACAATCAATCATATAATTATGTTATATCTATCCCATCTTGCGGCATTAATTATATTCCATCATACATTGTCATGATTATATCTGCCTGTGACAGAAAATGATTATAATTATGTCACCATTCATGATATATAAGCTAGTATTTATTGAAGGAGAATAGGAGATATATTAACTTTGGGGGAGATACCTTTAACTGTAACTTTATGTTACATGATCATTTTTTTTCTTCTTGCTATTGTGATTGAATATGTGATCAATGATCAATTAGTACTCAACATTAAAGGAAACCGAATCCCAAGTAATAACTTCATTTATTCTAAGAGATTTATTATATTACTGCCCATAAATCTACAATATTCCCCACCCAAGTGTATGAGAGAGGTATAAAGCAAAAATAAAGTACAGTTTCTCAGCATGACATGGGCATCGCCATTTTCTTGATAATGTGACGTACTATGCGAAGTCGTTTATCAAGTAAATGTATTCAAATTTATGGATGCTTCCTTTCCAGACGTATGTGGTGATGAAGCATTTCATTCACCTGCTATTATCCTTTGTACTATAATTGCCAGAACGCACATTGCATAAATAAGTTAGTGCTCTTCCGGGGTGAAGGTTTCTCATAAATGAATTAGATTTGTCAACTGCTATAGTGCAGTATTTATAAATGAATTTTGTTACAATTGTGCCCCCATTGACAATTGACAATGACGAAGATCTCTTCTTCTGAAATACTTTACTATGTGAACAAAAATTATGCCTTCAGCATTTTATTTAGTGTTTTGAGTGGGATTCGTTTATATATATATCAAAATGTATTTACAATATATACGTATGTATTATATAAGAGTGCAAAATATGTTAATTGTAATAATCAAGCTTGCTTGATATAGCAGATGATCTATTTTGTAGTGCATGCCTGTCCAAACAAGATGGGGTTATTAAATTTTAGAATTATGAGATATAAAAACAATTATTATTACATAAATGTATTTGAAATGTTTATTTAAAGGTAAAGACCAGTTTTGGAAACGCTCCCCTCTCAAAAATGAAATGGGAGCTCTTATTACCAATCATGTGAAAGAATATGTTTTGACTAATACGAGGGGATACAAATTTGCCGGGAAACCGCCTGCTAATTGATATTTTTGGTAAATCATTATATCTATCCGGACTGGATAGATATAGGGTAGTCCCATATACATCTTTCTATGTACAGTGCTTGTAACTTTACCAAGACTGGGCCAAATATCTTATGATATTTTGATTATTTCAGAACCTTGCAGTACACACCAATACTTATCATGCTAGATGATCAACCTTTTCTGATCGATTCCACAACGTTTCTTTCATAATGCAATCGCATGACCAGAACTGGTCTTTACCTTTAACTATAATGAGCAGAAACAGATTCCTAGCCTTCTGAAAGTACAGATGATGGGATATGTTATAGTATTCTGGTAGTGATAACACAGAACTTTATGTGCTTAACATCCGTCAAACTCAATTACATTTACAAATATGACTTTTCGAATTTAAAGATTTGTATTTTGTTGCAAATCATTCAAGATAGCTTTCATTACTACGTTGCTGTTGGTTGCTGTGAGATGAAATTAAAATTGTATTGCTTACACCTTAAAATAAAGAGAATCCGTTGTGATGGTTGTGAATTATGATTTAAAACTAAATAATGCTTTGCAGCTGGAAGAAGGTTAGCAAACAGGAACGGTTTCCAAACAGTAGTTTGTTTTGTATGTATATGGCTTCATAGCTCTATATAGTCGATGAACTGATTTTTTGTGTGCAAAGTAATGGAAATTCAAAAACCAGACATACACACTTAATACAGAAGTAGCGACATAATAAAGAGCGTTTAGTTAATGCTCATCAATGTACTCTGAGTATCGACATTATGTCCAGGGTATTTATTCAAGTACATATTAATTAAAGCGGAAAACACAATTTCAAATTTCATTAAAATCATGAAGATATAACTATACAACATACAGACCTTTATCACCTAGAAAATTATTGTATAGGTTACCTTTCACATGAAGAAAATTAATGAAAACGCTTTCACATCTAAAATGATTCATACGAGAAAAAAAATAGTGTCATGATGAATATGTGTGCCCTGGGGGCTTTGTAATTATTTATCAACTATCTTGTGAACGGGAAATAAATTATACTATATTTTGGTAACCACACAGCCGAAATTCAGCCCAGATATATAGATTGCGGCATGCGGGCCTTCAGTCAAGTGGTCAGACCCCCTGAACCAATAGATATTTGAGGCAGAGTGGGCTTGGGAGGGAGACTGGAAGGTGAAAAATGAATATAGTACTAATTGTAACCACCATTATATTACACACACACACACACACACACACGCACACGCACACTCCCATGGGCCTATATATACACTGCTAGTCATTCATCAAGGTGGAATAATTATTTTAACCCCAATTTATGGATTAATTTTGACAATGATTTAATCCTAATAGGTCTAGATGAAAATATACATTCTCAGATTATATCGAACAATAATTTGTGAGTGTTTGTTTTGCGTGACTGCTAAAGCATGTGTGTGCTACTATGCTTATCAACTAGGGGACCTACGTTCTTTAGTCATAACTGACAGTTGTGAGGATTCATGCCTCACAAAAGGGTACTTATATAGCACATCGACATGGTTTTGATCCTGGGGCCTCACAGTAACGAGGCCATTGCTTAGCCACTGAATTATGACTGTACGCAGCGGGGGCCAGGGTAGGGGGTATCCCACACCCCCCGCCCCCCATTAAAAAAAAAAAAAAATGCAACAAATTATCCATAATGCATTGCATTCCCCCCCCCCCGGTCCCCCAACAGGAAAACAAATCCTCTGTAGGATCATGCATTATGGTTCAAGGCATGGCATCGGGGCAATGAATTAGGCCCTAATAATTTACCGATAATACTAATAATAGCAATAGCGTTTACTACATTTAGCCCAACATCTTTTCTCTCCCTCGTCAAAAGTATGTTTGTGTGTGTTTAGAGGGTGGGGGGCTATATCCCCATCCCCGGCGAGATCATATTCCCATGCTACACCTTGCTTCATCATGAATACAACTTTATTTATGACATAAGGCGATGTCAAACACAATTTTTCCGATCCAACTTGAGGTATCTAGCTATAATTCACTTACATGGGTGACAGACAGGTGACAGACAGGCTACGAATTATCTCGATAAATTTGCCTCTGTCTGACACTGCTTATATTGGCTGGACATCAGTTTGGCATTGTCAATAAGAAGGAAAAAAAATAACAGAGAAGTTTTGCTTTGCACTTTGAAAAAAGACTTTAATGCCTTGCATTTAAAATATTGGCATCTCTTGCCCTTAAAGGGATAGTTGAGTTCTGTTTTCAGACCGCAAATGCCTTCAAGGTGCATGCTTATTGCTCTTATTCTTATTTATGACATTTCCAGTGCCCTTTTAGAACCTAAAATTGCTATGAAGGTAATTTTAGACCCCATGCTGTGTGAAATTTAGCAAATACGATCATACCAATTCAGCTCCACTTTAAAAAAAAAAATATGGTGACGGTTAATTAATTATTTAATTAAAAATAACAATACATGAGCCGGCTGGTTGTGCGTAATCATAACCAACCCGAAAATGCCAACAAAAAAGCCAACATCGGCATTGGCTGAAATACGACGTAAAAGGCGTTATTTCGTTTTTTCAACGGCTTTTTCAAATTATCTAATATTATGGTGCTACACAAGTATTTAAAATCATTCTATTTAAGGAAAATTCAGCCCTCTCCGAACCGATTTTGATCAAACAAAGATGATTTTGTCATTTAAATTGTATGTTCTTTCAAATTTGACCCTCAGTTTTCCATTCATCTCACACACTAAATATTTTGTGTAGCGCCCTCTGCAACAGAACTCAACTATCGCTTCAATGTTATTTTTTTAGAAAGAGGTGTTAGTGTGTAACAACATATATATCAATTGTTGACTGTTTTTTTTTTTTAACATGTGAAAGAAAAATAAACAAGGCGATTATCAAACTTCACTCTGTAATTGGGTACAAAGCTGATGATTAAAAAACTTTCAAGCAAATTGCGCTTATAAAATTTACAGTAAATGATACATAAAAAGCCTTAAAACTGGCCGCACTACCTTCCCTCTCCTCAGTTTCTTCCATTAAATATAATATCTAGCGTCGTATTGGCAGAGTAGCCAAATAACTCATAGTCTGTTTTATAATAATCAATAAGACGATATATCAGGTCACGTGGTACATCATTATATGCATTGATTAGCTTTTCATGTGACCTAGAACTATGAACTTCCGGAAAGGTCACGTATCGAGATAGATTGAATTGTTTTATGACGTAAGGTGCATCATAGTTCAGCGTCTCATAATGTCCGATAAAGTCATACTTGAATTGACAAGGTGACGTTATCCGGCTAGCCGGCAACCAGTGATCTGTCTGTTGTGTAATTTGAGCATTCGGACCGTTATCCGTAATGAATCGGATAAATTCGTCAAATCGTATTTTCTCTTTGAGTGGGAAGTTCACCTTTGATATTTGCTGATCCCGATATCGTTTTACAATAGTAGGTCCGTATTGTCGGTCCCAGTGCTCGTTTCCATACACAAATTTATCAAGATAAGCTGAAAGCACCCTCTCTAGGGGCTCCCGAGTAAACATGACTTTGGCGTATGTATTCCACCGCTGCTTGACCTTTTCGGCATTTTGGATATCATTCAACTTCAGAAACCTCCATTTCCTACTGGCTATTTTGGGTGCTTTTTGCAAAGGATCTCGGTCTGCTTGATAGAGCTTCGCCATGACTTCTTTCCACGTCGTGCAGGAGATCTTGGGTACGAAACAGAAGATGAGTTTGAACTTGTCACTCGCAATGAAATGCACGGTGTTCTCCCAAGAAACGGGCGGAGGGGTCCGGCTCATCCCAAGACGGTTGCATGCTTCTTCAAGATGTTCCTTTCTCTTAATCTGTTCGGCTTCGACGTCATACAATTCCTCCTCGCTTTGTGACTCGGCTTTCTGCTCGATAAAAAACAAAACAAAACGCATACAAAATAACAGTGTTCAAAGAGCAATGCGATAATGTGATTATTCAGTGAGCAAATCCAAGTATATTTTTCTTAGTCCCATACGTTACCAAGTATCATTGAATAAAAAACCTGATTCATATTGTGAATTTGATTTTACTTGGTATATCTTCCGATCCTAGCTAAAGTAGGGTTATCAACTTGATAAAGAAATCGGATGTCATGAGGGTGTAATTAAGCATCACCAATACAGTGACATATTATGTACACATTAAATGTGCATGACCATCGGGGATTAGAAAAAGGGGGCGACCGCCCTTTATTTTATTTTTTATTTTATTTTTTTATTTTTTATTATTATTATTATTTTTTTTTTTTTTTGGGGGGGGGGGGGGTTCAGGTCGGAGGTCCGGTTTATCAAGGCAGAGTGGGCTAGATCGACACATCAATATTGTATCAAGCAAAATTGTATATCAGGCCCTTCTCTGATCATAACCAGGGGCAGATCCAGGATTTGATGGACTCACTTGATGAATTGGTAATGTAGCTTCGTGATTACTTGAGGCACCCAATGCTTTGATATCGTTCAATCCTGCTGATCCGTTGCCTGTAAGTCTTGATCGCTGATAAGCATTCTCCCCTCCATCCGTTAACACAACTTCTTGCTTGGCGTATTTCAGAGCACTTACGTCTGACAATCCCGCAAAATAAGCGAAGAGAGAACAGAACATGAAGCAAGTCATTTTGATTATAGAATAACCACGATCGCAACGGCTTTCGAAAAAAAAAATCTCAATTCAGTATCCTATCGAACACCCCATAGACATCGTGTTCGGATGACGGCACATTTCAAAAGGTGATCGACGGGGCTATCATATTCATGGCTATTGCAACTCTTAAAGGGATAGTTGAGTTCTGTTGCAGATGGCGCTACACAAAATATTTTTTTTGTGAGATAATGAAAAACTGAGTGTCAAATTTGAAAGAACATAATATTTAAATGACAAAATCATCTTTGTTTGATCAAAATCGGTTCAGAGACGGCTGAAATATAACAATTTCTAATACTTGTGTACCACCACAAATATAAGATATTTTGACAAATTTGAAGAAAAAAAAGTTGAAAAAGACGAAATAACGCCTTTTACGTCGTATTTCAGCCAATGTCGATGTTGGCTTTTTTGTTGGCATTTTCGTGTTGCTTTTATTACGCACAACCAGCCGGCCCATGTATTGTTATTTTTAATTAAATAATCAATTAACGGTCACAGTGTTTTTTGGAAAGTCGAGCTGAATTGGTATGCTCGTATTAGCTAAACTTCACACATTTTGGGGTCTAAAATTACCTTCATAGCAATTTTAAGTTCTAAAAGGGTACTAGAAATGTCATAGATAAGAATAAGATCAATAACCATGCACTTTGAAAGCATTTGCGGTCTGAAAACAGAACTCAACTATCCCTTTAAGGGGCTTTCACATCGAGCCTTGCTCAGAGTTGCGTAGTGTTGCATACCGACTACGCCGAGCGTACGCAGCCCCACGCTGGCCTACGTAACTGTACGCTGAGGGACGCAAATGGGTACGCGAGATGGACGCCGCGTACCGGGCCTTCGGCGTAGACACTATACGCAGAAAGTACGCACTTTGTACGCAGGCCTACGCAACACTACGCTACTGTACGCCATGCCTACGCAACAGTACGCTATCCTACGCCAGTCCGACCACAGCACACAAGACGATGCTGATGGTGAATGACTGCATGTGGACTGTGAATCATAAGAACTTTTTCATCAGTGTTTCATGCTAGGGTGACGAAAGACTGTTATTATTTCTGCGACTTTTAATTAACGATAACATGTATCGTGTGATTATGTCCATGTGTAATAACATGTCAAGGTCTTGTTAAATTACACACTTTAATTTTCAGAGTGTCAGCAGGAGTTTATTCTCAGTTTTTAGTAATCATTACTTCATGAATCGGTTAAAGTAATGTATTTTGTGTTAGTTATTTTCATTTAAACTTCACAGTTTAAATTTCACAGTGTTAGCAGGAGTTTAAATTTCAGAGTTTTTCCGACAGTCATTATTACTGGAATTATAACTTCATGATAAAGGTTATACGGTCGTTATGGTCATGTCTAATAACATGTAAACGTCTTTTAAATGTCACAATTTTCAAACTGATATTATTATTAAAGTATTCATTACCTCATGATAAATTATAGTTGTGTAACCACATGTAAAAGTTTTTTATAAATCCAGAGTGTCAGCAGGAGTGTGTCCCATCTGTGAAATGTAAACGTTAGCAGTGTCCTAGTATTCAAATTATGCAAGGAAACCCCTTTAATTTCTAAACTTCACTGTCAGACACTATTGAGTGAGAGTGACTGATTGACTTCTTATTTTCTTTTGTAATCACATTCATAAAATGAGCTGTAAAGGGCACGGGTATTTGTCTACATCATAAAGCGCCTTCTTGTAATGGCCAAAATTAAAATGATTGAATCTTTGCGCAGCACAAAACGTACGACCAATCAATACAAGGGTCTGAAAATCAGACCATTACTAAAATGATTGCAATCACTAATTAAAATTTGATTCGACAACTAACGCTTGATATTTTCTCACAAAAAACATTTCCAAGCCCTATCGTTTTGAGGGAAGTTCTTAATTAGTATTATCTTTCAAATGCTGGTGGAATTTAACCGTTTCATTTGTTTGGCCTGCGAATGGGACATGGTACCTTTTATGTTAATTGAGCAATGCCGTATAACTATCAAATCAATTATAGATAAGATACCTATAAAGGTTAAGAGTAAGAACTCACCTCTTTTACTTGTAATGCACCAGAGGACAATCAATCCAGAACATCCAAGGAAAATGAGAGCTGCAGTAGAATTCCGCCTGATCGTCATATTGGCAACAGTCCAAAGTTCTGCTTGGAAACACCAGTAATCACCTAGTACTGGATATAATCATTAACGTTGAATGACATTTGTTTTAACTATATCTTTAAACAAACAAAATTTGAATAGGGTGCTCTCTCAACAAAATGTTTTGATAACAAATGAACTTATAAGATAAAGACAAATGAATATAATATTTATAAAACATTTGCTGCCCTTGAGTGGTACATTATGAGATAATGCATTTAGCTCGAGAATATTCATCCTAGCTGAATTCAATATATCTGTTTTACCACGAAAGAAAGCCAATATTATTATTATCATCAAAGATACAAAATCGAACTAGAGTGAAATTTAAAGGATTGAAGAGATCAATTTATATAGCAAATTCAAATGATGATGCAAGCAGTACCACGGCAATTGTTCAATCCATCAGTGCGTTGACTAGTCTTAAATCGTGTTTCAGGCTAGGGTGATGAAAGGCTGCTATTGTTCCTGCGATTTTTAATTAAAGATATTATGTATCGTGTGATTATTTCCATGTGTAATAACATGTCAAGGTCTTGTTAAATTACACACTTTAATTTTCAGAGTGTCAGCAGGAGTTTATTCTCAGTTTTTAGTAATCAATACTTCATGATTCGGTTAAAGTGATGTATTTTGTGTTAGTTATTTTCATTTAAACTTCACAGTTTAAATTTCACAGTGTTAGCAGGAGTTTGAATCAGTGGCGGATCCATTTTCAAATTTTCGAGGGCCAAAAAAAAAAATGTGCTCACTACCCCCCCCCCCCCCCCCCCCCCCCCCCCCCCCCCCCCCCCCCCCCCCCGCTTTGGTTTGTACTATTACAAGGTATTTCAGATTGACATGTTTAGTTTTTTTTTTATAGTTTATCAGGTGGGCTGTATATCGTACAGACCACCTTATAATTTCGTTAGAATTGCCTTTCTTTATTATTGCAATGACGAACCTTCGTCATTGCCTTGTTTTCGTTCACATTCTGCCCCATTAATATTTTCCTTTTCGTCCTGAAATCCCATTCGTTTTACACGTAGTGCTTGTCATCACTAATTATGCCCTTTTCTCATGTCCGTTTCCTTTCAAATTTCATAGGCATAGTCTCTAACATCTCATCAAGGTCACTATATTCTTCGATTTTCGAAATCACTCATGCATAACCGTCCAGGCGCCATTTTGTCCGTTTCTGGTCCATTTTAATGCCTTTCTTTCTTCCTTCCCATCTCCACTATCTTAGATCCTACAAACTTCTAACAAATTCCTCTAGATAGTCTAAGAGATGTTCTTTTATCTGCGACGTATAACCTGACCTTCAAAATGCCATCTTCGTACTCAAAATGCAAATCTGAAACCGACTCCGTCAAAAATCTCTCAAGTTCTTGAAAAATTGACCCCTAAATAATCTAAAACTGCCATAACTTTCTCATATGAATTCCGTTTTGTATTTAAATCTCACAGTATCTTTATCTCATAATTGCACATCGCCATGCCAAATTTCACGCTACATTGGCTTTGCAAAACATAAATAGCGCCCTTTAAAGTTCTGGGAATTGGCTGTCTTTCTGTGGCCGTATTTCCATTATGGCTTGGCAGACCCGTACCCTTTTTTGGATTTAGATACTTGAAGATATGCCCTTTCCAGCCATATACAACATTATATACCCTAACACTGACCGACTTTGAGAAAAATGCCCTCCAAATTCGCCATTTTCAAGAAAATTCCAAAATAACTTCAACTTGCTCTAAAATGGCGATCTTTATACCTACATCAATGAAACTTGGCACACATATGTATCCATATACGTGACAACTGTCTGCCAAGTTAAATAAATTGTAATGCCCTCGTTGCAAAGTTATCGCCAAAAATGATGAATTTGCTATGCATTACGTAATAGCGCCTTTAATGCGTGGAGTACATTGCGTGCAGATGACAATGGTGTCAAACTGACCGCAATGAAGTGCCCTTTCGAATGATACCAAGTATGGTATATGTTTACACAGAAAATTGTGAGTAAATCGCATTTGAACAAGGGTCGATCACTATACGAATTCCGCCCGATTATAACACTTATCGGCCATGACGTCATTTTTTCAGACTACTTTTCGCCCCCTAAACATCTTTTTTTTTCCTTGAAAATTTGCAATGACATTCCGAGATGCAATACGCAGGGCACCTCGTGGCCGGATTTTTTGAAATTGGTCAAGGGGGCCATTTAAGACGCCATTTTGTCCTTTAAATCTATTTTACATCACATGTTTCGATAGGATTATCATAGAAAAAAAAAGAGTAGTTTACAATAACGACCATGAAATTCTCTTTCCAATGATACCATATACGGCCCATAAAGAGACATAAAGAGAGAGAGAAAAAACAATTTAACTCCGGTCATAATACAGATCCTGTATGTTTTCCGCCCATGCATTACACGCATTGTCTATGGGGCAAATCGGGTTCACGCTTTTGACCCCTAGAACGATCTTGATTGCAATGACACCGCATGCAACTAATCCCATTTGTTTTTGCACGCAGTGCTTGCGAGCCCTTTCTAGGTTCTTTCCCCTATCCCAATTTCTTTCAAACATCGTAGGCATAGTCACTACCATCCCATCAAGGTCACTGTTGAGGCCTTTCTTTCGCCCTACCTGTCTCCAATATTACAGAAGCTAAAGACTTCGTACAAATTGCTCTGGATAGTCCGAGAGAAGCTCTTTCGTTCGACACGTAGAAACACGGCGTCATTGCACGCACATCGTTGTTACACGATTGCATTTCTAGTTGCAATGACGAACCTTCGTCATTGCCTTGTTTTCGTTCACATTCTGCCCCATTAATTGCAATGACGAACCTTCGTCATTGCCTTGTTTTCGTTCACATTCTGCCCCATTAATATTCTTATCGTCCAAAAATCACATTCGTTTTGCACGTAGTGTTTGTTATTCCTAGTTAGGTGCTTTCCTCATGTCCTTTTCATTTCAAATTTCATAGAGATAGTCTCTAGCATCTCATCAAGGTCACCTACTTTTTCGATTTTTGAAATCACTCATGCATAACCGTCCAGACGCCATTTTGTCCGTTTCTGGTCCATTTTAAGGCCTTTCTTTCTTCCTTCTCATCTCCACTATCCTAGATCCTACAAACTTCTAACAAATTCCTCTAGATAGTCTGAGAGATGTTCTTTCATCTGCGACATATGACTTGACCTTTAAAATGCCATCTTCGTACTCAAAATTTAAATCTGAAACTGACTCCGTCAAAAATCTCTCAAATTCTTGAAAAATGGACCCCTAAAAATCTAAAACTGCCCTAACTTTCTCATATAAACTCCGTTTTGTGTTTAAATCTTACATTATCCTTATCTCATAATTGCACATAGCCATGCCAAATTTCATGCTCCAATGTCTATGCAAAACATAAATAGCGCCCTCTAAATTTCTGGGAATTGGCTTTCTTTCTGTGGCCGTATCTCCATAATGGCTTGGCAAACCCGTACCCTTTTTTGGATTTAGATACTTGAAGATATGCCCTTTCCAGCCATATACAAAATTATATACCCTAACACTGACCAAATTTGAGAAAAATGCCCTCCAAATTCGCCATTTTCGAGAAAATTCCAAAATAACTTCAACTTGCTCTAAAATAGCGATCTTTATACCTATATCAATGAAACTTGGCAGATATATGTATCCATATAAGTGACAACTGTCTGCCAAGTTTAGTAAAATTTTAATATGTCAGCACAAAGTTATCGCCAAAAATGATGAATTTGCTATGCATTACGTAATAGCGCCTATAATGCGTGCAGTACATTGCGCGCAGATGACAATGGTGTTAAACTGACCGCAATGAACTGCCCTTTCGAATGATCCCAAGTATGGTATATGTTCACATAGAAAATTTTGAGTAAATCACATTTGAATAAGGGTCACTATACGCTTTCCGCCCAATATTATAACACGTATCGGCTAAGACGGCATTTCTCAGACTTTTTTTCGCCCCCTAAACATCCTTTTTTTTTCTTAAAATTTTGCAGTGACATTTAGAGTTGCAGTACGCAGGGCACCTCGTGGCCGGATTTTTGAAATTGGTCGAGGGGGTCATTAAAGACGCCATTTTGTACTATAAATCTATTTTACATCACGTGTTTCGATTGGTTTCTCATAGAAAAAAAGAGAGTGGTTTACAATAACAACCATGAAATTCTCTTTCCAATGATACCAAATACGGCCCATTAAGAGACATCAAGAGAGAGAGAAAAAACAATTTAACTCCGGTCATAATACAGATCCTGTACGTTTTCCGCCCATGCATTACACGCATTGTCTATGGGACATATCGGGTTCACGCTTTTGGCTCCCAGAACGATCTTTATTGCAATGACGAACATGCACCAAATCCCGTTGGTTTTTGCACGCATTGCTTGCGAGCCCTTTCTAGGTTCTTTCCCTATCCCAATTTCTTTCAAACTTCGTAGGCATAGCCACTACCATCCCATCAAGGTCACTGTTAAGGCCTTTCTTTCGCCCTACCTATCTCCAATATCACATAAGCTACAGACTTCGTACGAATTGCTCTGGATAGTCCGAGAGAAGCTCTTTCGTTTGACACGTAGAAACATGGCGTCATTGCACGCACATCGTTGTGACACGATTGCATTTCTAGTTGCAATGACGAACCTTCGTCATTGCCTTGTTTTCGTTCACATTATTAATATTCTTACTTCTTTGCAATGACGAACCTTCGTCATTGCCTTGTTTTCGTTCACATTCTGCCCCATAAATATTTGCAATGACGAACCTTCGTCATTGCCTTGTTTTCGTTCACATTCTGCCCCATTAATATTCTCCTTAGTATATTCCTTATCGTCCGGAAATCACATTCGTTTTGCACGTAGTGCTTGTTATTCCCAGTTAGGTGCCTTCATCATATCCATTTCCTTCCAAATTTCGTAGGCATCATCTCTAGCATCTCATCAAGGTCACCTACTTTTTCGATTTTCAAAATCACTCATGCATGACCGTCCAGGCGCCATTTTGT